TTTGCATATTGCACACATTTTAAAATATTGAAGTAGGGCGACACCCATTTTAAAACTACAATGTGAACACAATGCATTTTTGCCGTTCGAACTGCCATAAATTGCAAAATTCGATGCATGTTCTGCGGCGAATGAACGAATTTCAACTCCTGTTTTCACCCACAATTTTTTTTTTTTCAGAAGCGGAAGAGAAAGAGAGAGAACATAATATAAGTTTTATCAAGTCTTTTTTTTCATTCTCTGCCACATATATAGAGAAGATTGGCATTTGGTATCACACATTTTGTGGACTCAACAAATCGATTGTTGTTGCATTCGTTAACCTTGAAATATGAATAACCAAAGCCAGAAACAAGTTTTTATTCAAAATCAAAAAAAAAAAAAAAATGCAAGACAAAACAAATACCGTACTCCAATAAACAATTCAAGAGATTATGGATTATGCCACACAAACATAAATGACTCATTTGCTCTTTCCAATTTCGACTTTTTTATCTTTGTTTATTCTTGATCAATATGAATAAAACGAGAGCAACGGTTTTGCGCTTCCGTCAATCGACATGGTCGACGACATCTACACGAAGTATTCCTTTATCAAGAACAAGGAACAGAGACGAGACAATATTTAAAAAAAACCTACTACTATTATTACAAAAATAACATTGAAATATTAATTTGAGAATGCCAAATGGTAATCGATAGTGTGCAGCTCATCTCTTCATTTCTTCTAAGCTCTTCAAACTTAGAAAATCGAAAGCAAAAAAAAAAATGGAGAATGATTACTTTGATTTCTTTTTTCATAAACGAAATGTGATGACGACTGGAATTTTAATTGACTTCTAAGCATATAGAATATAATATCCATCAATATATAATTGGGCATCAATTAGAGACTATATCTAATTTAAGCACTTTTAAGAAGTTGAATCCATATATATGTATATTTTTCTATCTTTCAAACAATTGAAGATGTTACTAGGAAAACGCATTCATATCATCAGACGCACTTTAACCATAACTTATTTCCAGTGCACATATGTATATATCATTTTTTCCTCAAGCCAGTTCTTCTTGCTCCTTCTATTTTCTACATGTAGTGTATTTATATTTATAATGCAAGAAAATGAAGCAAATTTTAACAAGAACAACACAAAAATAAATGATTGTGTGTTTCGTTTGCGATTCACGATTTATAGATAATTGAAGTTCTTCACATTCGCTCCTCGTAATGCTTGTGGGTTTAAGCAAATACTGGGTGTTGTTTTCTCGCGAATACATATCAAAAAGAGAGAGAAAGAGAGAGAGAGAGAGAGAGAGAAAATAACAATCCAAGAAAAAGAACGAATAGAAAGTAAGCGTAGCAAATAGAATTATTCTCCATTTGAAAATTCGCTCATGCACACACAAACACACTCACAGTCACATCAGCAGCAGTTCATTGGAATGTATGCATTTGATATGCGAAAGTTAATGACCTACACCAAGGGCATTATACTCTACTATCTCTCTATTGTCTTTTCATATATTTTTTTTAGTTATTGTTTGTTGGTGCAGTGTATTAGTTTTGCTCGATTTTTACACATTCGTGTAGTGAATTGCACCATTTTTGTTGTGCACCGTTTTCCACTGCATTTTTATTATGAGATATAGCGCGAACGCGAACACAAACGAATGATAGAAAGAGAGGGAGGAAAAGAAAGGAAAGAGAAAAAGGCAACCAAAGAATCGTTCTTTATTTTTCACTGTTGCGTTCTATGCCTCCAATCATTATATCTATTTATGTATGTGCATGATACAATATAAGCCATAATAATAATAATAGTGAATGGAAACAGAGAAATAACCAACAAGAAAAATTGATAGAGATAGAACTGGGGAAAAAAGAAGACCGGCCACAAATCGCAAAGAGTGAAAGAGAAATGCAACGAACTACACATTTGTAAACTGTATAGACGAACTATTGTGTGGTTGGCGAAATGAAAAACAGCGTCTGTAAAATAAAAAATGGAATCGAGTGCTGAATACGGTGACGGCGGTGTCGTTTTCAACGACATCGGCGTTGTAATAAATATACAATAGAATAGCAAGTGAAAATCGAATAAGCGAAACTAAACAAACAACATAGCGAATAACGATATTGCAATGTGTGTGTGTGTTTGTGTGTGTATGCATTGCATTTGGCGTCAATTCACTTTTTTACATAACATTCCATTTTGGCCTATTGGTCTATCGTGCTCTTTCTCTCTTTTTCTAGACAAAATAATAGTAAACTTCCACAGCACGATGAAACCGAAATCGGTTATTATTTTTCAATTGCAATTTGCTATTTCATAATAGTGTGTTCGTGAACGGAATAGATCGAAACGGCAAGAATGTGAAGAGCAAGATAATAATCGTCATGACTATCGAGCAATTTTAATTGAATAATCTCGCTTGTGTTTCGTTCATTTTTCTTCAATCTTCATCTCGTTCGCAGCTTGTCAGTGAAGAGATTGGAAATCTTAGAATTCTTATCAAAATAGAAAAATCGCTGGAGTGAAATTGCATCTGTCTCTCTTTGGCAAAGAAACAGCCCAGAAAAAAAGACAGACCCAAATCAGCACAGAAGAAATATTTCGATTGCGTGCCGTGTTTGACTGCGCGTGACACATAATTCCATCTTATTCGCATCGAAATTCCCAAATGCAGTTCAAAACGATAATGTTGTTGTGGTTGTTTTTTTTTTTTTGTGCACTGTGGTGTTGGCTTATTTATGTTACTTTCTCGCTTTTCAAAAATATTCCTATTTGATAATATGGATAACCGCAATCGTCCGTGCTTGCGGCGACTGGCTCCATTACAACGTTTATTTTATTTTATTTTTTTTCTGTTTCATTTCTTATTCATTCGTTCGTTGCCAAATACAAACGATTCTCATACTACACTTTGCTTTATTGTAATGGCCGTGATTTGCTCAAGTGAACAATGTTCTTAACAATGAACTTGAGAATTTAAAATAAAAATAAAAAAAAGACACGAAACAGACACAGAAAGATAGAGAAGCGTTCCCATAAATGGGGAATTTTTGATTGCAACATTTAACGCTAAAACAACACAGACGCATCGGAAACGCACCGGATGATCAGGGTGTGGAAGAGAGTAAAAGGATGGAAAATTGCATCTACACATGTAAAATTGTGCTTGCGATGAGTATGATAGATACGAAATGAACGAACGAATGAGTTTTGTAAGGCGCGTCATCACAACATATTTTTTCTTTACTATATATATACACACACAATACGGGTCTCAATTAGGTATTCGCTCATTGCTTTTGTGCGAATACATTTACAATTTTGCATTCGTAATTCAAACTGCATTGCGATAAGTGACGTGAAGACATTACACGGTTTATTGTGGCGTATATCTGTCGGTGAGTTCAGCAGAGGTGCGATTATGTATGTTTGTGTGTGTTCACGTTAAATCTGAATGTAAACACACTTCAGATCAAATGAGGGAAAAAACAATCAATTTGAACCAATGAATATCATCATCATCATCATCGTCGTCGTCGTCGTTTTCGCTGAAATGTCATTTACTTCGTTCACGCGGCAGAAAAGTAAAATATCAATTAACACAAAAATATTACGCATAATAATTGCCGTGGCTGCCAAAAATATTTATAGAATGAGGGAATATTTTTCAATGTCGTAAAGTTCGTGTGAATCGTTCATCGCGCGCAAAAATTGTTGAATCGAGTCGTCGTTGTTTTTTTTTTTTTTTTGTGTGTGTTTTTTCTTTTGTTTTTGGCTTAAAACGATTTCTTCGTGCCGATGATTTTGGGTCGGTGAATTTATTAACAAAATAACAACGATAACAACACAATGCAGTCACTGCAGTGTGCCGTGTGTTCGACCAACAACTGAACAAAAGGTACTGATTCGTATATATGTGGGTGGACATTTATGAAAATACCCACTGCCTTATTCACCGAATGCTTTATATGAACATCGACTTGGGTATCAGGTCAGTTTTGATGCGTCAATTTTTTCCCTTCAATTTGATATCTTTCACAATATTATTATTACTGATCGATATCTGAACGAAATTACATGCATTGCAGACATCATAAACACACATTGTATGTGAGAATCAGAACATTTTTCACATCTATAAATACATGCATGATCATGTATCATTCGACTAGCTATGAAAAGACAAATGCTTGCGATCGCTTTGAACCAATTCTTGTGTCTGTGCTTGCAAGAAGAGAGTTGTAAGAAGAGAGAGAGAGAGAGAGAGAGAGAGAGAGAGAGAGAGAAATAATGTCGAAGACAAATATGAGCCACTTGAGATGTGAGAAATATATAGGCTGTATAGACGTGAGTCTGTGTGCTGTGCATCGCATTTTGTGACCGAACAAATGCAGTCAAGGTCATTATTATTGTGGTTGTTCCTTGATCAAAACCGCGATACACACCAATAAACATAAAGAGTGAAAGATACAACCGCATCAGCAGTAACAGCATCAGCAAAACAAGAAATATGATAAAAAGCATCACCAGCCGCACAGTAAAAGAGTGCATTCACTCTTTCAAATACTATAAAAATGAACAGCATACTCAATAATACTGAGTCAATATATACTATATTTATATATACTCGTCGGCATTTATATCGAATGGCCAATTAAACGATATAAAAAGAAATGAACGAATGGAGCGGAACAAACAAATACATAGACAAACATTCATGTATTGAAATGCATTCAAGAAATAATCTCTCGAATCGCAAAACATAATGAAAAGTGCAACAACAAAAATATCAAAGACTTCATCTTCTTGTTATTTTCATCGTAAACAAAAAAGACATTTTAAAAATAACATGACATTTTTTTTTTGCCTGACATATCGCGTATATGTCGTTTTTATATCTCTCTATGTGTACACTAATAGTACACTTATTTTACAAAAAAAAAAAAAAATGGCACGCACGAATGAAAAGAAAAGAAATGCACTTACCTAAATCTGGAATAGAGCTGGATGGTTCTTCGGAGTGTCCTTTAATTTTTGGAGGCGGCGGCGGTGGTGGTCTCATTGATTGATTTGAACTGGATGACACGACTGGTGCACGAAACACAACATTAACCGTATCACCCAAAGTGGACGGTGATGCTGTGGTTGTACCTTGAACGGTTAATTTCTTTGTAACACGTGGAAAATACGACACCTCCTCTGAATTCTCTGTAATCGGAACAACTGAAGCTACAACGGCTGCTGCCGTTGCTGTTGTCGTTGTTTGTTGTGAAGCGATTCCAATCGCTGTTCCACCACTAACCGTTGTCACATTACCACCGGCCACGATACTTTTCGGCTGCATTATTATCTGTCGATTCAAATTGTTCATCTGAAATTAAAATGCATTGTTTTTTTCATGGTTCAAACCATCGAAAATATTCCGTCGGAAACTTTCATGGGTTTGGATTTGCATGCAAACAAAAAAAATACGCACATAAAGTGCGAAATTAGAAGAAAAAAACATAGTTACCATTGGGCTGGTGGTGCCACCACCGCTGTTGCCATTGTTGCTCCCCGGGCTTGGAGCCATTAGATAAATATTCTTTTTGATGACATGAACACGCTGCTGCGGTTGTGTCTGTGGTGGCTGCTGTTGCTGTTGCGGTGGTGGTGAAAGAATCGGCAATTGGACAGATTGCTCCTGTACAGCTGCCGAATATAATACTGGCGATGAACGTGATTCACTCATGATTCGATTTTTTTCGTTTTTTTTTTTTGTAATGAAATTTATTTCGACTGTTATGTTCCACGCTCAATTTACAAATTCGTAATTTTTTCTTTTATTTTCACGGTTTATTATCTGCAAAATTCTATGTTTCTTTTATTTTCACAATTTATCAATTGGACGAATTTGATTCAAATTGCACATATGTCAGTTCAATAATCATAGTTTGAATGTTTAGTGTGGAAGGGAAGCTATATTCACTATATTTAACCACAGTATGTATGGCGTTTGGTCCAAATGTTCGAAGAATAAATATTTAAATCACATTCGCACGCCCACGCATTTTCCCATCTTCATAAATATTAAAAACGGCGCTATTTTCATGATCAGTTAAAAAGCTCTGGATGCATTTATAATTTGTTTAATTTTTGAATTAAATCTCGACGTTATTTGATACAAACAATGCAGCTAAATGTTCACTTTTTGTTTAAATTATCGGTTCTTTGAATTGAATCGCTAAATTTTGTGTCACTTCGACTCACTTGCAGTGTCTTAGTAAATATATAAAAATTGAATTTTTGATAGCGATAAATCAGCGACACTCGATGCGATTCGATGAGCATCATCCATGGCACATAACATTAAATGTGCATGCTGACATTGAAAATGTAGCTGTGTAAACAAACCCTTGCCTCATATACAACGCATACACTTGAAACATGCCCACTCACACATTCACTGTCTCTTCTCTCACTCTAGGAAATACTTTGTCAGTAAGGCATCTATAGAGAGAGTGAGTGTTTGATTAAATGTCGATGAATTGCTATATTCTATTTAAACAAAGAAGTGTGTTTGTTTGATTCAAAGTGAAATGTTTTCGTCTTTACCATGCACAAATCTGTTTTGTTTATTTGTTCATAATACGAATAATATGACTTTTTATTTTGCTGTTGCGTTTTCGCATTACAATGCGTCGTAAAATGTGCCTTTGAGCCACAAATCGTGCTCGATTTATTTTCTTCGTGTTATTCACAATCGTAGCGAACGAGATGGATGTGCAGTGGAAAAATAAAAACCATCGTATTCCTTTTTTAGGGATTTATATTATGTATATAGATAGAAATGTGCGTGTGTGTATCTACACGCGGGTGCTTATTTATTTCTTTTCCTCGCGAGCACGCATTTACTAATATTATATCTTTGAAAATGTACACATAAACACACACTGTAATAATACGAGAGCAATTCAACGTTATGTATTCGTATTCTTTCGCTTTTCGTCTTCCATTCGTTCGGCCTAAGCACATAGGCTAATGTGATCAAAAAGTGCGTATTATAATCGTAACTACGTAGTTCAAGGCCATTGTACTCTCAACTACATACGCGCATATCTACGGGCTATATCGCATACACACACACACAAATGTTCGCATGAAAAAGACGATAAAAAAAATAACACAGTAACAAAAATACTCTGTGAATCACTTCTTGTTTATCGCACACGCAACACGCACTGTTATTTAGGATTGCGTTGTTGGAGATTCGCGCGTTCGTTCTCGTTCTCAATACGCTCAGCAGTAAACATACACACACATATATATGTATATGTGCGTGCACACAGATTGTGTGACAGGCTCAGGAGGGTGACAACAATATATCAACAACTCAGCTCAATGGGCAATGCAATAATGATGATGCTGTTGTCTTTGTTTCTGCTGCTGTAACTGATGTACGATGACAATGACAATGACAACAATAATCGATTTGGCTTAATTCAAGATATTCGAATGGAAAATAATAATAAACAAAACTGCATATAATCATTGACATTCATAAATAAAATGGTTTATGTTCATTGCGAGGCGCATCATTTTTTCTTTTATTTTTGTGTACTAATTTATTTAAAAACATTTCACATGAATATGCGTCGTTGTCGTCGTTGCTGTCGTCTTCTTCATCATCATGTTCTGATTCTCCTTTTTTTGTGTGTGATTTGTGTATGTAAGGAACCAGGACAGAAAAAAAAATAACAATGCTTGTCGTTGGATCTTCTTTTTTTTCGTTTGTATATTTAAAATACACACATACACCGTATGGTTGGGAACACGCGTATTATACGCTATCTTTTTCTGTCACTTATTCTCTGTCTTGGTCGTTCGTTTGGTCTGCTCAATATGTATCTGTATGTTTATTAACTAGTGCTCTTTTATTGACGAGTCTGCTCCGTATACTCTGTACAACCGTTTCGGATCCGTTGTTTTTTATTTATTTAAAGATGTACTTTCAATGTCATATTCTTTGTTTTGTATACGAATGAAAATGTGTATATATGTGTTTTGTATTCTTTCACTCAAAGTCTTTTACACAATCGGGCCCACGATACATATCCAGCTCATTCTCTTATAGCCATTTTTTTTTTTGTATGACTGTTTACTTTTGATGTGTTGCTGTTAAGTTGTTGATTATTTTATTTATTTTTCGTATTTCTATTCGTTCGTTCGATTGTTCGTTGGTGCTGGCTACTTGACGTCCACCACACGTTTATTTCTGATGACGCTTTGATTTTTATTCTGTTCTAGATTCCTGAAATGTGTGCAAGCATTTTCTGGCGCTCTCTTTTAACACAATATGTTCAAGAATCAATGTGTATGTGGCAAATACACGAAAGCGAAAAATGAAACGTTGAAATGATGGCAGAACAGAAAAAAATAATATGAAAACAATAACAACCGAATCGACACCAACTTTCAGTTTTAAGCACACAGATGATGATGACGATTTCGCTTTCTCAGAACGATATATTTTTTGGTTATTCTTGTAACTATAAAAAAAGCCACCCGAAAATGTCAAATACACAAAGTCAAATAAAGAGATGGACCATTTTTGTTCTGTTTGCTCTCAGAATGAATCGAATAACAATAGAAAGAAACGAATACTTCTGCACAACAATTGCTCGCGGACGTGATTTACAGCAAATACGTATTGTTTATATTTTGAGATTGATGTACGGAATTTTTGTTCATTTTGGTAAATAGTCGTCGAGCACAAACTGGAAATGCAACTCTCTGCTTGATTTGATATTCAATCGAGGTGACGATAGGCGATTTCATATATCAATTTCCGCATTTGGGCTCTTTATCAACGCATTTGTATAGCAGCCATTAAAGTGATTGCACAAATAATGAACGATCATTCAAACCTGCAACGAAACGAAAATATTTATATTATTGAGTCAAAAAAATAAAATAAAAAAAAACAATGTGCTTGATGATGATTCAAAATGAATGGATTAACGCCAATGCTATACGTTTATACAACTGACGCAATTACAGAAGATATTGTACGAAACCAGTGGCAACGCATCTACTGTATTTTATTGTAGGCCAATAAATGCGTGGAACTGGTTAGTCAGTATGACAGGTTGCGTACAATATTGTTGATTTTGTCAGTGATAAAAACAAATCAAAAATTTGATGAAGTAAATAATAAACAGATTTCGTTGAATCAAAACAATTAGATCAATTGTGGTGTGCGGGAGATTCTTTTTCGTTTGAAATCGAACATCTTCAATTTTTGGTGACATGAATGACAATTGCCCTATTGATCTTGTTTTTACAATTTCACCGTTATTTCGGTCTGTTGTGTGACTATGAACTGGTCATTTTTGTCCATCGGTTTTATAAATATAACTCCCATTTCATGCTTATAACTAATTGATGCGAGACAATTTTAATTTAATCATTCGATTGAATATTTTGGTGTTGATCTGATCCAAAATGAACAGCCATAATAATTGTTTGTTGATTTTTTTTTATCTTAATAGATGACCTTCACACATGCATGAGGTAATAAGGATTATTAATTTTGTGCATGAACAAAATATTCCATTAAAATTGTTCATAAATAATTTCGTTGTGACACTTAAATTTTTGGATGGAAACTGAATGAGATCATATTTAATGTATATGACTCTCAATTCATTCGAGTCAACATTACGCTGATGTAATATAAGTTTTAAAAAGCAAAATAAAAAAACAAACAATTATGATTGAAACCCCAAAATCGCTCTTACAACATTCGCATTTTTTTCCTGTCCGATTCAATGTAACCATTACGAAAATATGTCTCGTCGTCAAGTTCAAGTTTTCGTGATTCTAATGGATTTCAGTTGTGAAATGTCATATACTGATCGACAGCTGAAAGCAAAAGTGTGCGAAAAAAAACTTGCTGTAATTTTAGATGCAAAGTGATTTTAAGCGACCAATTCCATTGCGTGAAAAGCGGATTATATAAGGAAAACTGCTTATCCGATCGATGTAACTCAATGCTTGGTCAGTCTACAGGCGATAAGAAGACTATAATAATATACATAAATAAATTCCAGCGCTACAGGAGAATGACAACGACGGACCTAATTCCAAGTGTGATCTATAAATCATCATTTCGCATGAACTTGAAAAATCTGTACTCGCAATTTATTTTGCGCGGTTTTTTTGGCAAGAGTGAACAACATACAAAAAACCAGGTTTCAACCAGCAATAATGGCAAGCAAACTAATTGAAATTACGTCAGTGTGTGTATCCAATTCGTTTTCGGTAATTGACGTGTTCATGAAATTGATTGTTCATCGTTCAAATTGTTTGCATTTGAATGGGGTATGACACTATACAGATAAAATGCCATTTTGAAATGAACGTTGAACATTTAGAGATAGAAGTGTGTGTTAAAATAATTAGAAGGATTAAATCAAAGGTAGAAAATGCACCACAAAACTGGATATATGCTCTGGATAAATTTAATGAGAATATAAAGAAGAATAAATTAGATCATCCAGATTTATTATGAAATATAAATTTATTGTGGTCAGAAACAAACGCACATACATAAAATGTCTATAAATATTCTTATTCATTTATTATTGTTTGACATTTGATTTTAATTTGCCGCTCATTAACAATATTTTGTATAATTGTCTCCATTCTATCAGAATTCATTCATTAATTTCAGTGGTTTTATATTTGGTTTGGATATAATTCGTATCTCTTTTTTTATTTTCATGAAAGTATCTCTCTTTATCATTCTCTCATTCTCTCTCTCTCTCTCTTCCTGTAGTTCTAGCTCGCTGTATTTTTCCTTGTACGATCGTCTCATTTGGTCGAAATGACTAAGGAAAGACAACCACACACTGGAAACAACAATGGGGCGAAAATGAATGACTGATTCGGCAGACGAGAGCGTTCTCGTCTTTGCAAATACACACAGGAGAATCGATGAGTGTGTTTATATGCATAAGTATGCGAATATTTGTGTTGTTTTCAACGTGTCACTTGACTTCAGGGTCAGTTATTTAGCCTTGACAATCGAATTGTTAAAAAAATATTACTGGTTTCCGTTCTTTCTCTCTTGCTCTGCCGTTAATTTGCACGCTATATCGTGCTTGTATAGTGCCCAGAATAGAGTACAATAAGCGGCAACACAGTGGATACATATAATGAAATTATTATATACTCCCGTTTCTTTTTCGGTGTGAATATGAAGTAGCTCATACAGTTAATGCGATTCTCATAAAGCACATTTTCTCGTTTCTTAATGTATTAATCGAAGAAGAATGATGACAATGCCACACAAATGGCGATCAACAAAAAAGTGGCAAACGCAACAATTAAAATAAAACTCAGACGCCAAACAAAATATCCATAGACAAAATTGCGCGTGTGTTTGTGTGTTGGTATTCGTTCTCACTGGGGCAAATTGTGTAAAGAGTTGTGAGATTATGCTAAATGAAATAAATTCGTTATTGTTATGAACGTCACTTTCATCAATATATTTGTTCGCTTTTTTGTGATTCTATTTCGTTCGCACTCAATGTTTCCTCATTCCATAACCGTTTTTTTATTCCCATGCACAATTAATTCCGTCAAACGAACAGCAAACCAAATAAACGACCAAACCGTGACAAATAAATCACAATTCGCGAATATGCATGTGTCATGCGGGCTTATGCAAACAAACCCATACAAATGAATTTATTCTATGTCTTAAATTTAAGATCGACGCATTTTTTTGCTCTTGTTTTTCCATCTCTTGTTTTCTCACCAAAACAAAATGCGGCTCTATTTTTTCTCTTTTCATATGTACCTTTGGACTTGCTTTCTCGCTTTCTTGCTTTTGTCATCGTAATCGTCATCGAGTATTATCATGTCATAAGTGAATATGAATCAAGTAATTTTTCTCTCTTTGTCATACATTTATTTGCAGTCAAAATGTATTTCATATTTTTCTGCGTTATATGGTTGCTTATTGCTTAATGTGAAACGTAGATTTATACATTAAGCTATGGAATAGTAAGATATATATATATATATATATATATATATGTTTGTTCAGGGATTTTAGAGAAAACCAGAAAAGATAGAGAGTTCGGGTTTTCGGCATTCGATAGGGCATGAAAAACCCTCCAGACGTATTTTTTATTTTCCCCATTTAATTTTTTCATTCATGGAACCTTTTTTTTGGATTCCACTTTGAAAAATATTTCGATTCCACTCACCATTTATTGAGTGGATAACGAATGGATTCGGGTGGAATTATTTTTCTCCGCAACTTTATTGGGTGGATAAAAGATGGAATAAATGAGTTTTACTCTAGTGTTAATTTGATTACTTTGGATCTAGATGAAACTTGTTGAAAAAAAGTTGGAGACACCCGAGGTACCAAATTGTTTTAGATTCCTTATAAAATTACCTTTCGAATGGTATATAAATTATGGAGTTTCCGGCAGGTTTGATGGCGTTTTACGCTGGCCGTTTGGCCGAAATATGAAAAATTGTGAGAAAAATCGGCTTCCG